ACACCAATTAACTAAATGGAAAAGATATTCCACTTAATGTACATTGCTTTGTCCTTAGATCACATCCATTGAAATGCTTCCTTAGACTTTCACTGACGTTTTATTGAAGGCAGGCTGGATGGAACTGAAGGATGCCACAGGTAGCTTATTGATTTTTCCTCAACACACGATGGCCTGCCCTGACGTCGGGTTCTAGCGTCTCTCCTTTTCTTGAGGCAGCTCTACTGAGGGGTGTTGGGAGACATTTCTCTCCACCCATTGAGGAAATTCTACACTCTACATCTAGGTTGGGAGAGTCAAGAGAACATTCTGAGAAACCTGCAATAAGCAAATCAATTTAATTTTGTTTAACCTATGTCTCCCAAACATACCCGACCATAAGTAAAATCTTTTTTCTCTTTCAGGGCCATGGCGGGGAGCTGCGCCCATTAACACCTCCCAGAGCACACTGTGGGAAGTACTGGGCTAAGACAAGACCTTGGAAGGCAGCTGTCTCTATCCCATAGCAGGGAGAGGGAAGAGCCATCAGATGTCCATCTTATTGACACATCAGCTAATGAGTGGCCTCTGTCAACGCTGGCAAGTTGGGGAACACTACCGGCCTCAGGACAGTTTAGGTCAAGAAATACAGGGCCCACCCACTGAAAAAGGTGTTGAGGAAAGGGCCAATAATCACCTTTGGCCTTTCTGCAGAGCTGCTGGGGTGACCCCATGCAGGCATGCAACACAGCAGAGCTCACCCTACAGTTGTGGGCTGCGGTGCCTGGGACCCTGTGTTTGCCATGCAGCAGCAATCTGCACCCACACTGAGTTCTAGAAGGACAGAAATGACAACGTCTGCTTCCACTGACAAGGAGTACACTGTTCCCAAATCGACAATGTAACAGAGTGTGTGTACCTGTGTGGGGATGGCAGGGTGTTTCTAGACCCCAAACGGATGTGACAGTCAGGTAAGCTCTGCTGTGGTACACGGGGTGCCCGTGGTAGGGCGCATGGAGCCCAAACCCTAGACTCTGGCGTAGACGCCCCCAGTCCCAGTGCGGTCCACCCACACTGCCTGTGGGCGTTACAACAGCTACTCCCCTCTCTGAGCTCGGCTCCTCCTCAGTAAAATGAGAATAATAATAGTAATAGCAGCAGTAGGGTAGTCAGGTTGGGTGAATGAATATTTGCAAATTTGCAAATATTTGCCTTGGAGTCACAGATGGGCCAGCAGTCACTCTGCAACACTGCTCAGGCCAGTGTTCGCTTCAAAAGAAGTACAGTCTCCTCAGTGTCTGTTAAATGAAACTGTGTCATGAGTGTTCACTCTAGTTTCCCGCTATTGCTACACATTTCCTATCATAACAGACACAGGTGCCAGACCTGGCGGGTTACAGGATACAAACGCCCAGACTGGGGGCACTCTGTTTAGAGGTGCACGCTAGCTTAGCTGCCTGGGAGCTCTCCCTTCCTGGCAGGTTGTGGTTATGTGCCATGGGAGCCTGGTTGTCACCAGAACATGCTAATGATCAGGCCTCGTGGACAGTGGTCACGGTGGATTCCAGCAGAACAGGAACAAGAAGGCAGGAAGGGGGAAAGGTTATTGGAGTCACAGATGGGCCAGCAGTCACTCTGCAAACTGTCACTGGGGCCTCCAAGGAGCTCCTGGTGGGGGAGTTAAAGACTGGTCGCACCTCTTCCTCACCCCCTTTGCCAGCCCTTAACTTGGTTGTTAAAAAAAATCAAATAAGAATTGCTTTAAAGCCAGACCAGATAAATGTACCAAATAGACTGAAACAATAAAGGGAAAGGGAAGGCAGCACCTTGGTTAATTTTTCTTGTTTTTTTTTGGTGTGTTTACTTGAAAGTATCATATAAATATACTTTAAACATTTTTAAAAGATTGTACAAATCCCTTTATAAAAATGTTGTCGAATGCATGATAAAAGACTGACAAATGGACAAACAGCGCAGCAGATTGCACATGAACGTCACGGTGACGCAGTAACGATCTGCTTCGGGCAGGAAGACGATCCTTCCGCAGCCCACACACAGCTGAAAGGGTGTGCAGTGGCCCATGGCCCACTGTACCTGACATCATCACACCTGGAATTTCAGAAATGTCGTCACTTATAGGAATAATTCTTGTAAAAATATGCAGGGAGTCCTTCTTAATGCCAGCCGAGATTGGGGCAATGATAAATCTCTGAGCATAAGGAGGAGAGGCCCTTGAACTTGGCTGGGGATGGTCCAGCGAACCTGCTCACCGGCAGCCCTGGCCTCCAGTTCACATGCTCTGGCTGTGAACGCCGAGCCTGCAGCCCGGCAACAGCTTTTTCTGCTCCACTAAGATTCACACACACGAACACACATGCACAGGAAGTCCCCAGGCACCGGGGCCATCAGGGACCACACTGTCTCGAGATTCCTGTGCTGGGGAGGGTGGGGGCCTGGGTGAAGGCCGAGCCCTAAGCAGCAGAAACCCTGGCCTCAGCCTTGGTTCCCACTCCTGCTGGTGCAGTTTCCAAGGCCGGTTTGCACGGGGGCTTTGAACCTGCGCTTCTACTCTTGCTGCCTTTCAGGGCTAAACACCTGGG